TTTAGTGCATGGGTTTTTGATTTCGATGAACTGTGTTGTCATGGTTATCAAAAATAGAAATTTCTGTGAAATTCCTTTAAAACGCTACTCTTCCTACAGTTTTGGTCCGATTTCAATATAACTTGGCACACAAGTAGACTACACCAAGATACATAATTAAGTGCATGGGTTTTTGGTTTCGATGAACTGTGTTGTCATGGTTACTAAAAATAGAAATTTCTGTGAGATTCCTTTAAAATGCTACTCCTCCTACAGTTTTAGTCCAATTTCAATATAACTTGGCACACAAGTAAGACTACACTAAGAAACATAATTAAATGCATCGGTTTTTGATTTCGATGAACGGTGTTGTCATGGTTACTAAAAATAGAAATTTCTGTAAAATTCCTTTAAGACATTACTTCTGCTATAATTTTAGTTTGATTTCAATCTTATTTGGCACACAATTAGACTACACTATGATACATAATAGTGTATATCAGTTTTTTTGATTTCAGTGAATGGTGTTGCCATGGTTACTAAAAATAGAAATTTCTGTGAAATACTTTTAAAACGCTACTCCTCCTACAGTTTCCATTTTATTTCAATATACTGTAACATGGCACACAAGTAGACTACATTAAGATACATCATTCTATTTATTGCTGCATGTTGCAAAGTTTCAAATCCAAGTGCTTCTTTTCCTTTGTTATACATAGAGACCAGTAGAGCTACATTCTCATCAGAGACTTCTGGTTCTACATATGTGACCAAGTATCAGATGAAGACGATTATAGTTTTCCATATTTTATTATATCAAAAAAGGTGGTAGGAACAATCTACAATAAAAAAACAAAAACACATAAAGTAATATGTACAATGTACTAATATCTTCCTGAATGAACACAATTTTGTAATAAATTGTACAATAATATCTCTATTTCACTAGGCACAAGTTTCATTTAAAATCTCTTGTCAAGTGAACACTATCTGCATTAACTTGTATATAAGTGACCATCTCATGTCTATTTGACCTGAACCTACTTAATATCCAGTACATAATTGTATGTATCTAACATCACAATATAAGTAAATCAAAAGACATATGCGTGGAACAATCCCTTAAACCTGTTCTTATTTAACACGAAGTTTACTTAATCAAAACATTCATTTAAACAGAACTGAATTATGACTACCTCTGCGTTCCATACATTTGCACAGAATAATAGGTTTTCTGCTTCAGTACTGATGCGCATTGCTGTTATGCATGTGTACAAAATATTCTATTGTTAATGTAAATTGTGAACGATGATGCTTTTAAATACACCTCGAAGATAAAGGTACCTAAACTAGATCAAATGTGTAGGAAACTGCAAAAATATGTAAATAACAACATGCATATAACATATAATCAAGATGAACAAATTTACAAACCTACATGAATATTATGCAACACAGTGAGGATTTCTAAATGTAAACTTGGAAAATAACTACTCGGTAATACTTTGTTGTACATGTTCACAACCCATGTAAACAGCATGTTTACATTCTTAAACCGAAAGTACAGTAATAGAGCTACGGTAACTCATGCATCTGACAAAATCAATAAAAATAGAGCTAAAATCAATTACCTGTCAATTGGCAATGAACTGTAAGATGTTTACATGATTTTAATTTCGGTAGGTGCACAGATGTAAATACAGCATGAGAGTTCTTTGTTCTTTTCCCGCTTTTCCGGTGTACAATAAAAACAAAACCGAAACTACTATAAAAGACACAATAATTCCGGAATACATTTATATACATGCAGGTGACTTGCACACACATAAAATATCATATCAATCAGGGGATATCTCAGTTTTTAGCTCTACTGGTCAGAGACCAGAAGAGCTTATGCAAAAGTAAGGTGTCCATAGTCCGTCCGTCTGTCTGTCAGTGCATCAGTTTTTGATATCGATGAACTGTGTCGTCATGGTTACTAAAAATATAAATTTCTGTGAAATTCCTTTTAAACGCTACTCCTCCTACAGTTTTGGTCTGATTTCAATATAACTTGGCACACAAGTAGACTACACTAAGATACATAATTAAGTACATCGGTTTTTGATTTCGATGAGCGGTGTTGCCATGGTAACTAAAAATAGAAATATCTGTGAAATTCCTCTATAACGCTACTCCTCCTACAGTTTTGGTCTGATTTCAATATTACTTGGCAAACAAGTAGACTACACTAAGATACATAATTTAGTGCATCGGTTTTTGATTTCGATGAACGGTGTTGCCATGGTTACTATAAATAGAAATTTCTGTGAAATTTCTTTAAAAGGCTACTCCTCCAGTTTTGGTCCGATTTCAATATAACTTGGCACACAAGTAGACTACATTAAGATACATTATTCTATTTATTGCTGCGTGTTGCGAAGTTTTCAATCCAAGTGCTACTTTTCCTTTGTTATATGTATACAGACCAGTAGAGCTACAGTCTCATCGGAGACTTCTGGTTTAAGAAACTTGACCGGGTATTTAGTACGAAACTATCCCCTGCCACCTTTGCATCCGGTGTTAGACTATTTGCGCAAATTTTCAAACAACCAGCAGGTCACAAACAAAGGAATTGTTGAAGGGACATACAAATTGTTAAAATATATTAGGTTCCTGATTGGAGCAAGCAGCAGTAATATATTAAAGAATTGATCTGGATACAGAAGAGGTATTTATTGCATGACATTAAGTTCTTTTTTACCTCAAATAAGGCTGGGCTACAGTAAACTTTATTAAATGTGGATATATATGTTGTAATTGGGTTTTAATTTATTTTCAGACTGACTTATAATCCCTAAACTAGCTTAGATAAGTTTAGCACTGGATTAAGTGATGAATACTCGAAAATCAGACAAGAAAAGATCTTAAAGAGTTGCAATAAGGCCAGAAAAAAGAAGATATTGCAGCATTTTCTTTGCCAAATGAAGCAGGGAATATTTAAATGCCAGCTAAAATACAATTACATGAAAAACATCTTTTTTGTGAAAAATTCTATGAAGATGTGATTGGAGAATACGAAAAGTGGCCGTTGACTTGAGAATTACATCTCCTAAACTAAAGGAACTTCGTGTTTAATGTTGGAATGTTGCACTTGCATTGACTAAACTTGTCAATCCTGGAATTTAAAATAATCTGAAACAAGAAGAGTTGAACATTTCAAGATGTGACTGTGTTTAGATGTTTTTAAATACTTGTGGATTTGTTAAGAAAATTCAAATTTAATGTTTTGTTGATGATTTGTTACAAGTGATTTGTTAGTAGTTTGTTAGAGTGATTTGTTAGTAGTTTGTTACAGTGGTTTGTTAGTTAAGTTTGTTAGAGTGGTTTGTTAGTTTGTTGAGGTGATTTGTTAGTAGTTTGTTAGAGTGATTTGTTAGTAGTTTGTTAGAGTGGTTTGTTAGTTAAGTCTGTTAGAGTGGTTTGTTAGTTTGTTGAGATGATTTGTTAGTAGTATATATGTTAGAGTGATTTGATAGTAGTTTGTTAATGTGGTTTGTTCATGGTTTGTTAGCTCATTTGCATGTGATTTGCTATAATACTAAACTACTTTCAAAACACAGTGGTTTGTTAGTAATTTGTTATAGTTGTTCGTTTGCCCTTTTTTCTGTATGGGGCTTTTTTGGGGAATATTCTTTTTATTTAACGTTTTACCAGATTTGAAAATCTTGTTAAAATGAAAGAAAAAAATTCTTTTTAATAAAAATTGTGTCTGCTTTGTTTTTACTACTAATCGAATTAAAGACTCTACATTCCTTTTACAAATGTGCTAAAACTGTTTCATAGATGCTTATAGTAAATAAAATTTGATGAGTGCTATCTTGTGTAATAATTTTTAATTCCCTTGGTTTCCAATTATGGTCCATAGATATCACGTAAATATCTTGGTATAAAATTAGATTCATTTCGATGGAGGTTAACAAACCACAGCATGAAGTATGTAATTCAAATTGTGATTTTAATAACTATACACTTTCATGTTTCAAATAAAAATGTTAGTTTCAATTCACATGTTAAATTTTTTTTTTACTTTTCCACAGGCCAATTTGGCACTATACATGATTAAAGAAACATATAAGGTTATCGAAGATTATGAAGCTCATCTCCGAGGATCTCATTTACAAGGCAAATCTTGCATCAGTTTTTTTATTCTTGTAGTGCGTACCAGGATAAATATTACACGTTTGTTTTATGTAGAACTTGTAGCTGCTTGGGAATGGACCTGTTCTAAAATCTTTCACCTGTTCACTCATCCAGAAAATGTAGGTCAGATCAAGCATCCGAAGCAAATTTGTGTCCATCCCTAGTTGTATAATCCATGCAAGATTAAATGTAACAGGCCACAAAGTTACAGAGCTACTCCAAAAACATTAGTTCTGATTACTCATTTAGAAAATGTGGGTCAGAGACAGGATCCCAAGCAAGTCTGGTGGAATGCATCCCTAAATATTCATCCATGCAAGGTTGGTCCAGGTAAGGCTTATAGTTACTTGAAAATGGTCTTGCTCCAAATAACTTTAACCTGGTTACTCATCTGGAAAGTGAAGGTCAGTTCAGTTAATGGAAGTCTGGTAGTGTACATCCCTAAATGCATCATCAATGCTAGTTTTGTTTAGGTAGAGCAAATATCAACTAATCTTGAAAATATATAACAGATCCACAGATCCAGCATCTGAAGCAAGTCTGGTAGTGTCCATCTCTTGATGCATCATTTAAGCAAATTTGGTCCAGGTCGGGCTTATAGTTAATTGGATTGAGGATTAGACTTGCTCTAAACCTTAACTGGGACACAATGCTGGGGTTGTATTGATTTGTTGAGGTGAATTAAAAATTCCTGGAAGTTTGTTTTATCATCAGCAATAAAAATACATGATGATTGAACCTAATGTTTATTCTTAGATGCAACCTTTCATGATCAATCTAACAAACAGGATCAGCATATATATGAGGAGTAATGGATGAAAAAAAGACAAGAAACTACATGTAGCTTGGAAATTGAGATTCTTGCCCTCAAAGTATTTCAAACCACACATTACACTAGCATTTATTCATAGGATATCTATAAAAAATGGGCTTTAATTGAAAAACAACAAATGAAATAAAAATGTTCAATGAATGGATTGAACACTGTGTTCCCGGCTTCAAGACATGTTTAATGCTGGAAGAACTTGTCCTGTACAGGAACCAAATCCAATCCTCACTCCATCCTTCTCACAGTAACCTGCAAATAAACAAACAGAACGGTTACATAAACCTACAGATAAACAAACAGGGGGGTTACATAAACCTACAGATAAACAAACAGAAGGGTTACATAAACCTACAGATAAACAAACAGGGAGGTTACATAAACCTACAGATAAACAAACAGAAGTGTTACATAAACCTACAGATAAACAAACAAGAGGTTACATAAACCTACAAGTAAACAAACAGGAGGATTACATAAACCTACAGATAAACAAACAGAAGGGTGACATAAACCTACAGATAAACAACAGAAGGGTGACATAAACCTACAGATAAACAAACAGGGAGGTTACATAAACCTACAGATAAACAAACAGAAGGGTTACATAAACCTACAGATAAACAGGAGAGTTAAAAAAAACCTAGATAAACAGGGGGGTTACAGAAACCTACAGATAAACACACAGGAGGGTTACGTTAACCTACAGATAAACAAACAGGAGGGTTACATAAACCTACAGATAAACAAACAGGAGATTACATAAACCTACAGATAAACAAACTGGAGGGTTACATAAACCTACAGATAAAGAAACAGGAAGTTACATAAACCTAAAGAAAAACAAACAGGAGGGTAACATTAACCTACAGATAAACAAAAAGGAGGGTCATATTAACCTACAGATAAACAAACAGGGAGGTTAGATAAACCTACAGATAAACAAACAGGAAGGTTACATAAACCTACAGATAAACAAACAGAACGGTTACATAAACCTACAGATAAACAGGAGGGTTACATAAACCTACAGATAAACAAACAGGAGGGTTACATAAACCAACAGATAAACAAACAGGAGGGTTATGTAAACCTACAGATAAACAAACAGGAGAGTTACATAAACCTACAGATAAACAAACAGGAGGTTAGATAAACCTACAGATAAACAAACAGGAGGGTAATATTAACCTACAGATTAACAAACAGGGAGGTTAGATAAACCTACAGATAAACAAACAGGAGGGTTACATAAACCTAGAGATAAACAAACAGGAAGGTTACATAAACCTACAGATAAACAAACAGGAGGGTTTTGTAATCCTACAGATAAACCAACAGGAGGGTGACATAAACCTACAGATAAACAATCAGGAGGGTGACATAAACCTACAGATAAACAATCAGGTGGGTTACATAAACCTAAAGATAAACAAACAGGAGATTACATAAACCTACAGATAAACAAACTGGAGGGTTACATAAACCTAAAGAAAAACAAACAGGAGGTTTACATAAACCTACAGATAAACAAATAGGAGGGTTATATTAACCTACAGATTAACAAACAGGGAGGTTAGATAAACCTACAGATAAACAAACAGGAGGGTTACATAAACCTACAGATAAACAAACAGGAAGGTTACATAAACCTACAGATAAACAAACAGGAGGGTTTTGTAATCCTACAGATAAACAAACAGAACGGTTACATAAACCTACAGATAAACAAACAGGAGGTTACATAAACCTACAGATAAACAAACAGGAGGGTTACATAAACCTACAGATAAACAAACAGGGAGGTTAGATAAACCTACAGATAAACAAACAGGGAGGTTACATAAACCTACAGATAAATAAACAGATTAATAAACAGGAGGGATACATAAACCTACAGATAAACAAACAGGGGGGTTACATAAACCTACAGATAAATAAACGGATAAATAAACAGGAGGGTTACATAAACTTACAGATAAACAAACAGGTGGGTTACATAAACCTACAGATAAATAAACAGATAAACAAACAGGGGGGTTACATAAACCTACAGATAAACAAACAGGAGTTAACATAAACCTACAGATAAACAAACAGGAGGTTACATAAACAAGAGGCCCAAGGGCCTTAACGGTTACCTGAGTATAATACAACAATTTAGAAGTTGAATACACTGATAGATGAAGCTTTGTTGCCCTAAAGCAAGAGAAGTAGGAAGATCAGGATCAACAAAATAATTAGTCTAGTATTCAGTATCAACTCATAAATTAAGTTCTAATCTGTCCCCCACTTAACACTATCACCATGCAGACTATTAACAAACTATTAGTCTTCTGTACTATTTTTAAACTCATATTAAGACCTCTAGCATTGACCTCTCTTATGGTCTTTGAAGAACTTTTAATAAGATAAGTTATTTTTGTCTCATTTTTATTCATCTATTACTTACAGGTCTACCTGATTATTAAAACTAAGAAAGTACTTTTTGAATTATACAATAAACATTCTTGCATAATTATCTTATTCTATTAACCTTTCAAATACATTATTTACAATGATTAATTATCAAAGGTGAATGGGAAAGGGGAATAACTTCTCTCATTAGAATACAAATTAATAGAGCCCTGCCCAGGACCAGAATGCTTAGACAAATGGTCCAGATGTTCAAAAATCTGGTAGAAATATTCTTACTTAAATCATTTAAACTTTTACTCAGTTTGCTTCCGATATGCCCAGAAGCAGAGAAGAATTTCACAGGTACAATGCATTTTCACTACTGATTTAACAAAGCCTTACCCTAACACCAGAACCTAAGACCAAGGGTCAAGAAATTTACAAATTTGGAAGAGTTACCCTCATCATCATAACTATGGACTTCAAAGAATTAACATTTTTCCACTATATTATCAACCACCCCCCACCACCCCTCGTTATGCCAGAACTCCTGACCCTAGGACCACAAGATTTAAAAATTCAGTTCGAAGCTCCCATTTTCATCATAGCTAAGCAATTATTTATCAGCTCAACTCTAAGGAGCAGACAGGATTAATTAATGATTAATTAATAGAATTAATGCTTTTTCACTATATAATCAATAGAGCACCCCCCCCCCCCTCCTCAAGAACCCCAAAAACTGAGGCCATATATTTAAAAATTTTGGAAGAGGCATCCTTACCTATCATAATCATGCACTTAGTTTGTTTAAATAATCTCCAGTAGTAGAGAAGAAGATTTTCAAAGAATCAATGCATTTTCACTATATAATCAATAGAGCCCCACCCTAACACCAGAACCCCTGACCCTGGGGCCATGAAATTCACAATTTTTGAAAAGGCATCCTTATGCATCATAACCATGCACTTAGTTTGTTTAAATAATCTCCAGTAGCAGAGAAGAAGATTTTCAAAGAACCAATGCATTTTCACTATATAATCAATAGAGCCCCACCCTAACACCAGAACCCCTGACCCTGGGGCCATGAAATTCACAATTTTGGTAGAAGCACTCTTGCTCATCATAACTATGTACTTAGTTACTTTATTTAACACTCAAGAGCAGAGAAGAAGATTTTCAAAGAATTAATTCATTTTCACTACATAATCAATAGAGCCCTGCCCTTACACCAGAACCCCTGACCCTGGGGCCATGAATTTCATAATTTTGGAAGAGGCTCTCTTGCTCATCATAACTATGTACTTAGTTACTTTATTTAACACTCAAGAGCAGAGAAGAAGATTTTCAAAGAATTAATTCATTTTCACTACATAATCAATAGAGCCCTGCCCTTACACCAGAACCCCTGACCCTGGGGCCATGAATTTCATAATTTTGGAAGAGGCTCTCTTGCTCATCATAACTATGTACTTAGTTACTTTATTTAATACCCAGAAGCAGAGAAGAAAATTTTCAATGAAATAATGCACTTTTGCTATATGATCTATATAGCCCCGCTCTTGGGCCAGAACCCCTGACCCTGGGGCCATGAATTTCACAATTTTGGTAGAGGGCTCAATGCTTATTACAATGATGCCAACAGTTTGACTGCTTGATGTCCAGGAGTAAAGAAGAAGATTTTTAAAGATTGCATTATTTTTGGTGGTTTTAGCCCAACCCCTCAGGCCCCAGGGGGGCAGGGACCATGAAATTCACAATTTTTTTCTCCTTCACCCATAGATGCTATATGTCAAATTTGGTTGAAATTGGTTAATTGGTTTCAGAGAAGAAGCTAAAATGTTCAAATGTTAACACACAACAGACGACGGACAGGAACGTATAGCAATAGGTCACCTGAGTGACTCAGGTGACCTAACAAACAGGGGGGTTACATAAACCTACAGATAAACAAACAGGAGTTAACATAAACCTACAGATAAACAAACAGGGGGGTTAAATAAACCTACAGATAAACAAACAGGAGGTTACACAAACCTACAGATAAACAAACAGGGGGGTTATATAAACCTACAGATAAACAAACAGGAGGTTACACAAACCTACAGATAAACAAACAGGAGGTTACATAAACCTACAGATAAACAAATAGGTGGGGGGTTACATAAACCTACAGAAACACAAACAGTGATTACATAAACCTACAAGTAAACAAATGAGAGGGGGGCCACATAAACCTACAGATACAGATTTGGAGGTGCAGTTACATAAACCTACAGATATATGAACAGGAGGTTACATAAACCTACAGATAAACAAACAGGAGGGTTACATAAACCTACAGATAAACAAACAGGGGGGTTACATAAACCTACAGATAAACAAACAGGAGTTAACATAAACCTACAGATAAACAAACAGGAGGGTTATATTAACCTACAGATAAACAAACAGGGAGGTTACATAAACCTATAGATAAACAAACAGGAAGGTTACATAAACCTACAGATAAACAAACAGGGAGGTTATATAAACCTACAGATATTCAAACAGGGGGGTTACATAAACCTACAGATAAACAAACGGGAGTTATCATAAACCTACAAATAAACAAACAGGAGGGTTATATCAACCTACAGATAAACAAACAGGGAGGTTACATAAACCTACAGATAAACAAACAGGGAGGTTACATAAACCTACAGATAAACAAACAGGAGGGTTACATAAACCTACAGATAAACAAACAGGGAGGTTACATAAACCTACAGATAAACAAACAGGAGGGTTACATAAACCTACAGATAAACAAACAGGGGGGTTACATAAACCTACAGATAAACAAACAGGAGTTAACATAAACCTACAGATAAACAAACAGGGGGGTTACATAAACCTACAGATAAACAAACAGGAGTTAACATAAACCTACAGATAAACAAACAGGAGGGTTACATAAACCTACAGATAAACAAAAAGGGGGGGTTACATAAACCTACAGATAAACAAACAGGAGTTAACATTAACCTACAGATAAACAAACAGGAGTTAACATAAACCTACAGATAAACAAACAGGGGGGTTAAATAAACCTACAGATAAACAAACAGGAGTTAACATAAACCTACAGATAAACAAACAGGAGGGTTATATTAACCTACAGATAAACAAACAGGGAGGTTACATAAACCTACAGATAAACAAACAGGAAGGTTACATAAACCTACAGATAAACTAGAAATATGTCCATAGGACATGAATGCCCCACCGAGGGTATATTAGTAACACAACATTTTAACACCAATTGAGAAAAGTGAGGTCAAGGTCAAAGGAAAGGTCAAAGTCAAAAAATATTGATGCAGTTGAATAGCTTACATCAGTATGTATCAGCATATAAAGTTTGACACTAATTTAAGAAAAGTGAGGTCAAGGTGAAAGGAAAGGTCAAGGACAAAAATTGTTGATGCAGTTGAAAAGGTTACATCAGTATGTATTAGCATATGAAGTTTGATAAAAATATTAGGAATGGTTTCTTTAAAACTGAGCTAAACAATAATTTAAGAAAAGTGAGGTCAAGGTCAAAGGAAAGGTCAAGGTCAAAAAATATTGATGCAATTGAATAGCTCTCATCAGTATGTATCAGCATATGAAGTTTGACACTAATTTAAGAAAAGTGAGGTCAAGGTCAAAGAAAAGGTCAAGGTCAAAAAATGTTGATGCAGTTGAATAGCTCTCATCAGTATGTATCAGCATATGAAGTTTGATAACACTATCTTGAATGGTAAAACTGAGGTAAAACTTATTTAAGAAAAGTGAGGTCAAGGTCAAAGGAAAGGTCAAGGTCAAAAATATTGATGCAGTTGAATAGCTCTCATCAGTATGTATCAGCATATGAAGTTTGACACTAATTAAAGAAAAGTGAGGTCAAGGTCAAAGGATAGGTCAAGGTCAAAAAATGTTGCTGCAGTTGAATAGCTCTCATCAGTATGTATCAACATATGAAGTTTGATAACACTATCTTGAATGGTATCTTTAAAACTGAGCTAAACACTTATTTAAGAAAAGTGAGGTCAAGGTCAAAGGAAAGGTCAAGGTCAAAAATATTGATGCAGTCGAATAGCTCTCATCAGTATGTATCAGCATATGAAGTTTGTTAAAAATATCTTGAATGGTTTCATTAAAACTGAGCTAAACACTAATTCAGAGGTCAAGGTCAAAAGAAAGGTCAAGGTCAAAAAATGTTGATGCAGTTGCATAGCTCTCATCAATATCTATCAGCATATGAAGTTTGATAAAAATATCTTTGAAACTGAGCTTTGAACAGAGCTAAACGCAAAGTGTGACAGAAGGACGGAAGGATGGAAGGATGGAAGGACAGAAGGACGGAAGACGGACATGACAAACACTATATGCCCCGGCCATATTCATGGCGGGGCAAAACAAACAGGGAGGTTATATAAACCTACAGATATTCAAACAGGGGGGTTACATAAACCTACAGATAAACAAACAGGAGTTTACATAAACGTACAGATAAACAAACAGGAGGGTTATATTAACCTACAGATAAACAAACAGGAAGGTTACATAAACCTACAGATAAACAAACAGGGAGGTTATATAGACCTACAGATAAACAAACTAGAGGGTTACATAAACCTACAGATAAACAAATAGGAAGGTTACATAAACCTACAGATAAACAAACAGGAAGGTTACATAAACCTACAGATAAACAAACAGGAAGGTTATATAGACCTACAGATAAACAAACTAGAGGGTTACATAAACCTACAGATAAACAAACAGGAAGGTTACATAAACCTACAGATAAACAAACAGGGAGGTTATATAAACCTACAGATAGACAAACTGGAGGGTTACATAAACCTACAGATAAACAGGGATACATAAACCTTCAGATAAACAGAATGGTTACAAAAATTAAAATTAAACAAGAGGCCCAGGGGCCACATCACCTGCCTGAGCACTGTGGCTAAGAAAAAAGCAAAAATCAGTTTAGTATTGAAAAGCTTATTAAATGCATAAGTGGTCCAAAACTAAACCTAAGAGGGAGAGGGGAGGAGGGCATGATTTAAACAAAACTAAATCTACACTAACTAAGGATGCTTACATATTTTTTTGACCAGCTGTGACTGTTTTCCTACAAGTTTGAACTTTCATTGTGGCCCCACCCAACACCTGGGGTCATGATTATAACAAACTTGAATCTACACTATCTGAGGATGCTTCCATATAAATATGACTAGCCATGGCTTTGCTGTTCTTAAGAAGAAGAATTTAAAAATTTTTCCTATATACTTCTATGTAAAAATTTGATGATTCATTGTGACCCCACCTTACCCCTGGGAGTCATGATTTGAACAAACTTGAACAAGGTTGAATCCCCTTCACCCAAGGATACTCTGTGCCAAGTTTGGTTGAAATTGGCCCAGTAGTTCTGGAGAAGAAGACGAAATTCTAAAAAGTTTACAACAATGACAATGCCACTGCTGCGGACAACAGACAACGGACAAATTTTGATTAGAAAAGCTCACTTGAGCCTTTGGCTCAGGTGAGCTAAAAAATGAATAAAATGGAGGTGACATACTCCTATAGACAAACTTCTGAAAAATTTTTTAAATTATAAGTAGCATTTAATCTTAAAAAGAAATGCATGGTGATAGTATCGTAAAATGAACCTTTCAGGTACAGTATTGAATACAATAATGTGCTTGTTATAAGAGAAACCCTAACCTGTCATAATGACATCGTCCCCATCCTTTAGAAACTTCCTGGTTTCTCCATTTCCCAGGTCTACAGTCTTTGTTCCCTTCCAACACAGCTCTAACATACTGCCATAGGAGTCCTCAGTCTGTAACATAAGATATCAAAGGTTACTATAACATACTGTCATAAAAGTTTTCTTTTTAGAGAGTATATCATAGGTTTTTCATATCAAAAATAACACTTCTACCATAACACTGTACCCCTATATATTTTATCACTCCTGTGCAGCGATTCTTTACATGTAAGAGAACACCTAGAATGATTCCAATTTGCTTCTAACACCTAGGACAATTCTAATTGGCTGTTTTTCAGGGACTTCATTTCCAGGTTCATGCCTATGATGGCACAAAATGCAATTACAGAGTATGATTGAAACCATCTATAATTAAACGTTTTATTCCTTTAACTTTTCCCTTGTATTTTTCATGATAATTATTATTTAGGTATATAACCAGGAATCTATTTATATACTAATGGAATAGTCAACTTCTTCAGTGCAATGTTTATTTCATCAAAACATCATACTAGTATATGTTTGTATAATGGGAGAAACAAGCTAGCTTTGTCTTTTAAAAAAAAAAAGAGTTTGAGAAAAACATTACTAACTTGAACTAGTTAGAGAATCTATATATATCATACATTCATTATTTAAAAAAAAGGTGTCCTCTACAGATTTTCAGATGTCCTCTTCTGATTTTCTACAGGGTCATAATTCCATGGAATCACAATATCTGTTCAATCTACGGGCAGATTTTTTTTTTTTGAATATCAATACATGTCCTTAATGCATTGTAAGCATGCTGTGACAATTTTTCAAGGAAAAAAACGTGACTGCTTACATAGCCTAAATTAATGGTCATCTACAGTACATTAAAGGGATTCATTTATATTGCTTATTCCCTAAAATTCATCAAAAAGCAGTTCTTAGGTTCACAATTTCATGGTAAAAGATCAACCTAGTATTATTCAATCTAATCAACCCTTTTTGGTACAGAATCCTGTACCCTTTCAATTAGGAATTTTAAATCCAAAAAAAGGGAAAAAATTGAAATAATTGATGTCTTATATTATTTTTAACTTGGATTAAAGAGTTAGATTGTAGGCTTATTCCTTATTTACACCTTTTTGAAAGTTTACTTAAGTTTTAGGAAAAAGAGTCAATTTTCAATTGGAAAGGGTCCTTTTACCAGACCTGGATGCAATGGTTATTAAGCAATGTACATACATGTTCTTCAATAATTGTCCCTGAGGCCAAAAGGTTCCCTGGGTTTAAGTAGTTTTGTTACTTCTCCACTAATTATTTGTATTTTGAGGTCATGAAGTCCCATGGGTGAACATTAATATAGATTTGTACATACCTCTCCACTAATTGTTCCTGAGGCCATTAAGTCCCCTGGGTTGGCATTACAACCAGTTACTGTGTGGTGGGTCAACTGCTGTTTCATTGTCCAGTACATGTACTGCAAAATATATTCAAAATGGTTATTAATACAGATACGGTAAAACATGCTTATAGCGAACAGGCTTATAATGAGTTGACACTTATAGCGATGTCATTTTCATTCCCCTTGACTTTAAAATATATTGAACTAGAAATATGTCCATAGGACATGAATGCCCTGCCGAGGGTATATTAGTAATGCAACATTTTAACACAAATTGAGAAAGTGAGGTCAAGGTCAAAGGAAAGGCCAAGGTGAAAAAAATATTGATGCAGTTGAATAGCTTACATCAGTATGTATCAGCATATGAAGTTTGACACTAATTTAAGAAAAGTGAGGTCAAGGTCAAAGGAAAGGTCAAAAAATGTTGATGCAGTTGAAAAGGTTACATCAGTATGTATCAACATATGAAGATTGATAAAAATATTATGAATGGTTTCTTTAAAACTGAGCTAAACACTTATTTAAGAAAAGTGAGGTCAAGGTCAAAGAAAAGGTCATAGTTAAAAAATATTGATGCAATTGAATAGCTCTCATCAGTACGTATCAGCATATGAAGTTTGACACTGATTTAAGAAAAGTGAGGTCAAGGTCAAAGAAAAGGTCAAGGTCAAAAAATGTTGATGCAGTTGAATAGCTCTCATCAGTATGTATCAGCATATGAAGTTTGATTACACTTTCTTGAATGGTATATTTAAAACTGAGCTAAAACTTATTTAAGAAAAGTGAGGTCAAGGTCAAAAGAAAGGTCAAGGTAAAAAATATTGATACAGTTGAATAGCTCTCATCAGTATGTATCAGCATATGAAGTTTGTTAAAAATATCTTGAATGGTTTCATTAAAACTGAGCTAAACACTAATTTAAGAAAAGTGAGGTCAAGGTCAAAAAATGTTGATGCAGTTGAATAGCTTACATTAGTATGTACCAACATATGAAGTTTGATTACACTATCTTGAAAGCTATCTTTAAAACTGAGCTAAACACTAATTTAAGAAAAGTGAGGTCAAGGTCAAAAGAAAGGTCAAGGTCAAAAAATGTTGATGCAGTTGAATAGCTTACATCAGTATGCATCAACATATGAAGTTTGATTACACTATCTTGAATGGTATCTTTAAAATTGAGCTAAACACTATTTTTAAGAAAAGTGAGGTCAAGGTCAAAGGAAAGGTCAAGGTCAAAAAATGTTGATACAGTTGCATAGCTCTCATCAATATCTATCAGCATATGAAGTTTGATAAAAATATCTTGGATAGTTTCTTTGAAACTGATCTTTGAACAGAGTTAAACGCAAAGTGTGACGGAAGATGGACATGACAAACACTATATGCCCCTGCCATATTCATGGTGGGGCATCAAAACTTATTGGATATAATAATGCTTATAACGAAGCAAAATCGCCCGTCCCTGGCACTTCGTTATAAGCATGTTTAACTCTATACAGTATTACATGCTTATAGCCAACACACTTTTAATTAATCAAAGCTTTCACAGCAAAATGATTTTCATTCCACTCGACATTAAAATATATTGTGAACTTAATGGATATAACGAATTTTGTTTATAATGACAAAATCATGTCCCTTGCACTTTGTTACAAGCATGTTTTACTGTAAGTAGATCTTGAAGTTCAAAGTTTACAAATGTTCATTACTGGAAATATTATTAATAAGCTTTTTGTTAGTCTATGCAAAATATTGTAAAAAAGCTTAAATTTTTGGCCATTTTTGCAGAAATTGTCAGGATTTAAGGAATAATGATGTCATAATTCATGGACTAAAGGAGAAAATAACGTCATTTTTAATAGATATACAGTCATCAAGGCTTGAAGTGAAATGTAATGTATTTTCAACTGAAACTGAGCTGTTTTGATTTTTTAGAAATTCACTGGGCCCCCCAAAAAAAGCCCTAAGTGAACCTTGTTCTTTAATGTAACAATTATATATGTTTCCCACCAGGAAATTGCAAAAAGACTCTATTATAGATGTCAATGCTTCCTATCAAATTGATGTCAATGTCTAGCCTGATTATTTGCACATTTGCAATAAATTAAAGTGTTTCCAGTTTTTAAAGCTCAAAAGAAACTCTCGGGGTACTTTTAAGTTACCTTTCTGTGTTTATTATATTTATAGTAAATTCTCAAACCTTGAAGTTGCTGCGACATACAGTTGAGGGTTTGCTCATTCCTTCACCTGAAAGTTAATACATACAGTTAATGCTGGAGTAGATATAGTTGGCTCAACTGAGCTGGAAGTTCAAGTGAGCTTTTCTGATCACATTATATCCGAAGTCCGTCTGTCTATCCGTCTGTAAGCATTTCACATTTTTGACTTCTTCTCGAGAACCACTGGGCCATTTTCAAATAATCTTGCCATAAAGCAGCCTTATGTGAAGGAGATTTAAGTTTGTTCAAATAGGAAAAGAAGCTTTCACATAAGTTTCATCATTTCTAGCACAGTGGTTCTCAAGAAGATTTTTAAAATAACTTTGCACAATTTTCACTATTTCTCTATTATCTTCCCCCTAGAAGAGGGTGTGGCCCTTCATTTGAACAAACTTGAACCACCTTCACCCAAGGATACTCTGTGTCATTTTGTTTGAAATTGGCTCAGTGGTTCTGGAGAAGAAGACAACAATATGAAAAGTTTAGTATGACAACGACAAAAACGCCAATAACACCAATGACATACGACGGGCAAATTTCGATCAGAAAAGCTCACTTGAGCCTTAAGCTCAGGTGAGCTAAAAACAAGTTATGATTAATGAGAAATTATCAGATTATTTTGACATTGACCCTAATTTTTATATTTTTCTCACCTTTAATAGCTACTTCCAGGTGGATGTCCAGGTTGTAAGGGTCTTCATGATAGAGGTATGGGAGAGGTTTAGGATCCTGGGCAGTGTTAGGAACCAGGAAGGGTTTTAAGGCCTCCATCGTGACCACCCATGGGGATATAGTGGTCCCCAGGTTTTTTCCCAGGAATGGACCTAGTGGAACATATTCCCACTTCTGAATGTCACGGGCTGAAAAAGAGTGTCCAGAGATGTGAATGATGTTTAAATCATTAGTTTGCCTTATTTTTAATTTTTTTTAATTATGAACTTAAGATAAATAAATTCATAAGCTGGATTTTACTTTAAAATATTGACCATGTGTTGCATGCACTAATCAAGGCACTAATAATCCATTATTGCCTTTGACCTTGAGGTTCAACCTTTTGAATTGGAAAATAAATGACTTCTTCCTCTGGTCAGCCTTCATCTCTGAAGCAGATCAACATCTCTATAAATTGTTTAGGAAACACGCAAATAGATGGCGAGATGTATAGGGCGACAAGAATGTGAGGGTAAATAACCACATTTTATCTATCCATGGCACAGGTGGTGCTTGTGGACAGGACCCTACTTTTATGATGCAACCCACCTCCCCTTTTATGATTTTTCAATATTTTCTTAAAAATAGTTTTCTTTATTTTTTATATCTTACTATGTCATCTACATGTTCCTGATCAAAAATTACATTGAAATTCCATAACAATCGTTACCCATATATATATAGAGAGAAGGTAAGCAGCTTTGGCTTTGGATAGCATTGATATTACCCAGGCTGACCCAACTTAAGCACACCTGTGTTTTATTGCTAATTAATTCACTTTTTTGGTAAATCAAACGAAGTTGTGATTTTTAGAACACACATCACAAAGGTACCTTTGATAAAAAAATTCACTTGCATGTTTAAAGATTTACAGGGAAAACAAAATATTGCATAACATACATGTTATTAATAACTGAAAAAAAAAGTCAAACTTTAAAATAACCCTGTAGTAATTTCCTGAGTACATATATCTAGTCACACAAGGTGAATTGCTAAGTGCTAATTTTGAAATGACCAATGAATATAGACAGTAACTGACAGAAATCACTCATTGCCTGGTCAATGGATCTGTCCGGTCTGATAGTAAAAATTTCTGAAGGCATTAGAAAAAAATATATCTATATGTAGCCTATAAGTTTTCTAACATTTTTTACTTAATATAAAAAAATTTGCACACTGAAAAATATTCACTGAATATCATCAAAGACCAAACACTTTTTAAATCATTATAATCATAAAGTAATCAAAAAGTAATCATGAATACCAGACTTTTTTCAGAGTAACTGATTAAATTACAATTATGTGTAATCAGAAAAACAGATAATTACTGATTACTCATAACCAGCCAATTACAATTACTGATTACAATTACTGATTACAATTACCCCAGTCTGACTCCTATTATCAACAAATAATTTAATTTTGTTTGTATTCTAGCCTCTGATTGGTTAATATCCAAAAAGGAACACAAATTATTTCTGTATAACCTGGTTTGGTATGGGGACACACCCCCCTGACAACCAGCTGAATTATCTGTATCCATACAATCCTCTCATTTCCAGTCCTCGGGATTCATGGAAAATTCCAGATTTAATAAAAGTACCTTTAACTTCAAACAACAATTCGATCTTACCACATGTAAACAAACAACAAGGCTGCTAGGCCTATGTATCAGTTTTTACCTCCCCTTGCTTCCCATCACTTCCGTTACTTCCGTTAGTATGGTTGTATTATTGAGTGGCAAATTTGAACTAATAAAAAGCAACGAAATTTTACACCCATAGTTATTTAATGATTTTAAAATTAAATTATAAGGAATGACTCTAATTCTTGGCCAAATTATTCGAGTATAACCTGGTTTGGGTCAGTTTACGCTGTTTTATAATCCGCTTTGCAGATTATAAAGCGTAAACTAACCCAAACCAGGTTATACTCGAATAATTTGGCCAAGAATTAGAGTCATTCCTAAATATGACTATCAAACACTGCTTACAGAAAAGATGTGCATAAAATGTGAATTTTATCTGAAAATTAGGAAACACATGCACAAAAGTCTAATGAAAAATAAGGGGACCAGATTAAATGTTGTAAAGGTTAATTACTACATTTTGTATTTTCTTGGAAGCAAGCTTCGTGATCATTTAACACAAGTACACCACTTTGCCAACCAGTGCCTTAGTTGAAGTTGACTGGGTTTGTCTGAGACAATGGTTACCCATAGAAACATAGGTAATCAAAGATTACGAAGCTCACCTCGACGAATGTTATCTACACGTAAGGCAAATTTCACATCATATTTTTTTTCTAGTTAGGGTACAGCCCAAGATCAATATCCACGCAAGTTTGATTTAATTATAGACCTGCTCAAAAAACTTTTGACCTGTTAAGTAATCAAGAAAATTTTGGTCAGTTCCAACATCCAAAGCCAGTCTGGAAGTTTTCATCCTTAGATGCACCATCTATGCAAGTTTAATCATAACAGGCCATAATATTATATAGCTACTCCAAAAAAATTACCCTGGTCACTCATCTGGAAAATGTACGTCAGATTCAGAATCCAAGGCAAGTCTGGAAGTGTCCATCCCTAGATACATCATCCATGCTAATTTGGTTAAAATATGGCTAAAATTCACTCATGTGGAAAATCTAGGTCAGATCCAGCATCCGAAGCAAGTGTGGTAGTGTCCATCCCTGGATGCATCATCCATGCAAGTTTGGTCCGGGTAGGGCTTATAGTTACTTGGGAATGGACCTGCTCCTAAAACTTTAACCTGGTCACTCATCTGGAAAATCTAGGTTAGATCCAGCATCCGAAGCAAGTGTGGTAGTGTCCATCCCTAGATGCATCATCCATGCAAGTTTGGTCAAGGTAGGGTTTATAGTTACTTGGGAATGGACCTGCTCCTAAAACTTTAACCTGGTCACTCATCTGGAAAATCTAGGTCAGATCCAGCATCCGAAGCAAGTGTGGTAGTGTCCATCCCTAGATGCATCATCCATGCAAGTTTGGTCAAGGTAGGGTTTATAGTTACTTGGGAATGGACCTGCTCCTAAAACTTTAACCTGGTCACTCATCTGGAAAATCTAGGTTAGATCCAGCATCCGAAGCAAGTGTGGTAGTGTCCATTCCTAGATGCATCATCCATGCAAGTTTGGTCAAGGTAGGGCTTATAGTTACTTGGGAATGGACCTGCTCCTAAAACTTTAACCTGGTCACTCATCCGGAAAATCTAGGTCAGATCCAGCATCCGAAGCAAGTGTGGTAGTGTCCATCCCTAGATGCATCATCCATGCAAGTTTGATCCAGGTAGGGCTTATAGTTACTTGGGAATGGACCTGCTCCTAAAACTTTAACCTGGTCACTCATCTGAAAAATCTAGGTCAGATCCAGCATCCGAAGCAAGTGTGGTAGTGTCCATCCCTAGATGCATCATCCATGCAAGTTTGGTCCAGGTAGGGCTTATAGTTACTTGGGAATGGGACTTGCTCCTAAAACTTTAACCTGGGACACCGACGCTAACGCCGACGCCGGGGGTATAGCATAAGCTCATCTCGACTTCGTCGAGGTGAGCTAAAAATGTACAAAAAAAGAAATATATCCTAGACAATGAATGCCTAAAATATCCACAGAGAGTGAAATCTGAAGATTAATCATGTAAATAATGCAATTCAGATCGAATGCCTTTAAAATGACTAGCTGCATGACAGGTAAAGAAAGACAACTCCTTTATCAGCATTTACAAATCATGTGACAATCAGCAGGTAGACAGGGAAGTTATAAGCCACGTACAACAAAAAAACAACTGTGAACCTAGTGGAAAGTACCTCACAGACACCAAGTGTGTGATTTAATATTTGCATATTGTACAACAATTCTTGTAAGTTCTGATGGTAATGTACTTTTGATGAGCTTTAAAACACAGTGATCTCAAGAGCAACAGTTAGGTCCTAATTCAGGACATTGTACAACAGTGAAACAGGCACTCCAACAAAGCCATGGAATCAGTCTTAGGAATTATATGATGATGATGATAAAGTTTCAAGACATGTTCTCATGACACAGAAATAAGATTTTACACACCTTTATGATTTTATGCTTTATGTGAATTTCAGATCATCATTTCATAAAGCAATGGACCCCCGTATCAGTGCCCAGGATGTGATGCGATGTGACCTGTGTGAGTCTGCAGTGGTACAGATGCACTGTGATACATGCCTCATCAACTTGTGTAAGGCCTGTGTGGGAGAACACTCAATGTCTGATGAATCCAGTAAAAAACATGAAATTGTTCAATTCAAATATCGAAAATCAACTCCTCTTTACCCTAGATGTACCTCTCATGACAAAGAACAATGTGAAATGTACTGTAACCAATGTGATGTTCCCATCTGCAGTGCTTGTATAGCCTCTGAAAGTCATTCAGGTCATAAAATTTGTCAAATACTGACATTTTACAATTCTAAGAAAAAGGAAATTGAGAGAAAATTTGAAGAAATGAGGACAAGCATTTACCCAGCCTATCAGGACACTGTCTCTGAGGTACAAAATAAAATGAGTCAGTTTGAAAAGGAATATGGAGATCTCTCAGCAACTATAACAAAACATGGAGATGCGTGGCACAAGATAATTGACAACATTGTTCAAAACCTCAAAGCTGAAGTGGACACCATGAAATCTAGACACTTTGACATTTTGAAGAAACACATAGCTGAAATAAATCAAAGAATTTCAGGAATAGAAGATGCAATCCAAGCCTCCTCAAAAATACTGGAATCAAATGACATCTCTCTACTTCTTCAATTTAGCAGAACAGTAACAGAATTTAAAGAATTCCCTTATAAACTGGAAGTATTACTTCCATATTTTACCCCAATACAATATCAAGAAGAAGAATTTCTGAAACAGTTTGGGAAACTATCAACCCTAACTCTTCCTTCTGATGAACCTGGCTACAACAGAAAGGAGAAACAGAAATCACCGGAAGTAATCAGTCCCCAAGTAAAAGAGCTGCTTAAAAAAGCACAAAATGTTACCACTATAGACACGGGGTACAGCAATGTCCTGTTAGGTGTGGCCTGTCTGAATGATGAAGAAATATGGACAAGAGGATATGTGAATACCATGAAACTGTTCAGCATCAGTCAGGGCTCACTACTTAAGTCAATCAGAACCAAATCAGGAAAAGTTCCCAATGGCATAGCAGTAACTAAACATGGGCATCTTGTTTATACTGATCCCAGTGACAGAACTGTCAACATCTGGGATAATAAAAGGATTGAGACAGTAATCAGACTAAAGAACTGGATACCTCGAAATGTCTGCAGCACCTCCACTGTTGACCTCCTGGTCGTCATGGACAGTGATGATAACAAACAAACAAAGGTTGTCCGTTACTCCGACTCCACAGAGAAACAAACCATTCAGTTTGATAATCAAGGTCGGCCTCTCTATTCATCAACTGACATTAAATGCATCATTGAGAACAGGAACCTGGATATCTGTGTGGCTGACTGTGCAGCTAAGGCAGTAGTGGTGGTCAATCAGGCCGGAACACTGAGATTCAGGTATACTGGACATACTAATGCTCCAAATAGCAAACCTTTTAGTCTACGAGGAATCACCACAGACAGTCAGAGTCACATTCTTGCAGCTGATGTTGACAATGATTGTGTTCACATCATAGACCAGGATGGACAGTTCCTCACTTTTATAGACTGTGAGTTGAGTAGTCCTAGGGGACTGTGTACAGATACATATGACAATCTGTTTGTTGCTCAGTTGCAAAACAGACAAGTAAAGAAAATAAAATATCAGATATGAAAACCTGGGTTTTGAGTGATGTAAATGCATTATATTTTATGAAATTTATTTTTTTATATGCCTAATGGTATAGGGCTGGGTATCGGCTGAAAATTTCGTATTGCGATATCTTTAACTGTATTGCAATATTTTAAACGACAGTTAAAATGCTCCTTTTCTTATTTTATCAATCTCCATCTATAAGCAACCTGTGTAAAACTATTATAAATACATTTATTTTAATACAATTTTTTTTTAAGATTTCATTTCAGTTTTGGAATGAAATGCAACCATACAACAGCAACCCTACTGTTTGGCACGATGGAAAACATTTCTGGCATATTATATTTTATATTTTACTAAGAAATCTAAAGCCCAAGCAGTTTGCCGGTGTATCGGTACTGGAAAAAGTATCGTAATATGATATTTTTTGTTAATGAATCACAATATACCAATATTATTGATATTACTGAACAGCCCTACCTTATGGCACTTTACACAATCCTCTAAATGAGCATGTACAGGTAATGACAGGATTCCCTTTGGTTGGGGAAAATCAAATTCGGGCCATGAAAGCAAATTATGTTGTTTGATATTAAATCTTTTATTTATTTTGCATCCCCAATATTCTGTACACATACATTTCATTTGTTTAATTAAAGTGTGATTCAAGTGCTCCCTTTGATGAACAGAGTAAAAGATATCTATAATATTACTGGTGAGGTTAAACTTGAAAATGGAGTGAAATTTTTGGTTGTTGTTGAATAAATGTATTAAAGATTTGATATCTGTTCAAAAAAGAATTGTACATCATAATAATAACCATGCGGCTGCCAGAAAATGCAGAGTTGTACCTTCGTATTGTGATTGCATGTTTTACACTTGTATCTAAATTAGATCTAATATGACGCAATGAAAATTCCTGCATGCATTTGCAACTAAAATATTTTGTGGATAAATCTACAATAAGATATAATTTGATTGAATTCTCCAACAGATCTGCTTACTCGTCCAGACACGAAGAGAGATAAGAATGAAATCAGTGCTTTGCAGTGCACTTATATACCGGTGCAATGATTAAAATTTGTGCTCTAGAGTTGCTGAATAAGGAGCAGATCCTTGCGTTGCCAGTTTGAATCCACTGCCGGACATAGAGACCGGTCCTTCGGATGAAACCGTATAAACCCAGGTCCCATGTCCGTGTTGGCACGAAAAAGATCCCTCACTGCTCAATGGCCCTGCGTACCGAGTATAGGTATAAATTTGCAGCCCTCCACTGGCAAGTGGTGGCGTCTCCATATGGGTGAAAAATTCTTGAGAGGGATGTTAAACAACATTAAAACAAACAAACAGGGGGAATGGGTGGGAAGTCTTACCACTCCAGTCATTCATCAGCACCATCCCAAAGATGTGTTCCTCTGCCTTATCTATACTGATTGGTTCTCCCAGCTGGTTACCGGGGCCAACAAAGAATGCCATCTCCAGCTCAAAGTCAAACAGCTTACAGGGGCCAAACACAGGGGGCTGAGCTGGAATAGAAATGTACACATAAGTACAAATTTTAAATCTGTGCATAGGACACTGTATATACTACAAATTATAATTAAAATGATTTAGATATGAATGTTTTCTATCTAATTTCAGTCAGGGGTGAGACTGAAATCCGTCATTTTTAAAATGACGATTTTAAGCCATAAAATAAAATTTTTATTATGACTTAAACTCGTCATTTTTAAGAAAATGACGAAAAACAGTCATAAAAATTCAGAGTGTTTCTAGAATACCAAGTTACCTCTCTTTGAAAAATGTTAGATCCACCAACCGAAAAAAGGACAAAAAACATCGTAAACGAACTTCATTTCTCTAATACAGTTGACTACAATACTGGTTATGTTGACAGTATAAATTTCCCAAGCAAAAATAAGAGTGGAAGAGTTATTTGTCAATTTATTTGCATTAAATAGGAAAGAAGACGAAAATGACGATATTCTGTCTTTTTTCAAAATGGAGGGTCTGGGCGCACTGAAATATCTCGCTTGTTTTACGGGGCGCACTACTTTTTTATGGCTTTAACTTTTTGTCGAGACTTTTCTCTACAAGTACGTATTCTTCCAGACGGTGTACTATATGTTTTTATAGGGCTAAAAGCCATGTAAAAATGGCGAATTAGTTCTACCAAAATTCGACATTTTACCGCTAAATAATAACTTTCACCTTCCATGTTGATGTTCTAACGCACGTGGTCGGCAGTAATTAGTGACCCGGATGAAATGAAACTTGCGTAAACACTCTTCTTTCAGCGGTGAATTCAAATTTCGCTTTTATGTAACCAGGATAGAAGAATTAAGTTGAAAAAGAAAATATGACGATAGTAAGTCATATTGACAAAAATGACGAAAATACGTACTTAGTAAATATGACGATTATCCATCATTTTTCAAAAATGACGGATTTCAGTCTCACCCCTGACTGAATTTAAGATGTAATCATGATAATGAAATATGGTTGGTAGATTCCCAAAAATGACTTGGAAATTTTTAAAGGAATATCATCTACTCAGAAATAAATAAGCACATTCAGAGAAGAATTATCAGTCATTAAAGTTATCGCAAAGATTAAAGTTTCTATAAAAAAACAAAAACAAAAACAAAAAAATCATAGTATATTTGGTAAGATCTTGTCACAGGTAATGTATTTGCGGAATATGAAAGCCCTATCTTTTCTCATTCCAAAGTGGGAGACAAATTACATGTAAGAGGACAAATTACATGTAAGAGGACAAATTACATGTAAGAGGTGACTCAGCCAGACTGAGCCTGTAAGTTTTACTTAAAAGTGCTCCAATATGTATAAAGAATTTCCTTTTCTTTCCCTTCTTTGCTTTTTCCAACTTACATTCATCTGGCCTGGTCTGACCATTGGGTCGTCTGACGGGGGTTCCTGATACAACGACAGAGGAGGCCCTGCCATGGTAACCAACTGGTAGATGCTTCCTGTAAACAATCACAACTTTCATCCAATTTCTTGTGTACACATATACATATACATTTTATATATCTCATAATTTGAAAAGTTAATTTTGTTAAATAAATCTAAATTCTTCACATTATTCTTGTAGCTTGTGATACATGTATGTAGCTCTATTTTATAATGATAGGACACAAATTGACAAATTTCACTATGTGACATTAAGTTATTAAGTTCTCTCCCTTTTTTACCAGTTTGGCATAAGTGCATTCTCTGGTCCCCTGAACATACAGCCAACATTGAAGGCATGGTTCTTTGATGAGTAAAAATCAGTGTAGTCTCCTGAAATAATACAAAATTAATGAGACCTATTTAATAGATCATAGAGTGGATTAAGTAAAATTTTAGTGATTAAGAAGGGATCGAGGGAGAGAGACCCTTCTTAATCCCCAAAATTTTACTTACTTAGAATATAACCCACTTTTTCATTGGTTGATCCAAACTTCTTAACTATAATGAAATCTTTTCTTTCTTTTGTTTTTGTTTCTTGAAGATGTACTGTAGATTCCTAAATATACGCAAGGAATAAATTATTGCGTAATTACGTGAGAAGCACAAATCGCAAAAAAAAATTACTCGCTTTTATTTTTGTGGTGCTTTAATGTATGTAAATTCTCTAGATAAATCACCTATTCGAGAATTATTGTTCTCATGATTTGACGCCCTTGGGCCATTTCGCGATATTAAGTACTCGCGTAAAATAAGAAATCTACAGGAAATTAAAAATCTCAGGTAACTGTGAACAAAAGATTTTTTAATGATCAAGTGAAGCACTTGATAAAATATTTTATAGTAATTGCTGATTGGAAGAAAAAGTGGGTTATGTTGTAATTTACTGTATTCTATAGTACTAATTATATTAAGACCCTCAAAGTTAATAATAAATATGTATGTAAACACTTTTATATTGAGCATAGTGTAAGACTCTCTGTGGTTCTTTCAGTTTTCTGGGCTGTAAATGACAAGAGTACATCTTAAATCTTGAGTCTTCTTCACACATTTGAACTTGAGGGTCTTAATATGTATGAAAAACGTCAATCAACATTTGACTTAACAATAGATTTAATTTGCTAACAAGGTCCTTATCAACCATAGAGTTTGCGAAATGTTGGAATTAAATGGTAATATTGGTATCCTTGTATCATGAACTTATTTGTCCTTAGCTTGCTTCGTTCTAGAAATTGTAGATTCAGTTAATCAAAACTTTCCCAATACAAATGTTGGTAGGGATGTAAATTCATGGGTAGGGGCGACCCACATAATGCACAAACATTTGTCCCCCATGAACAATGATGATTCCACAGTAATAGCACTCAAAAACAATCATGACTTTTAATCCTCTGACCTTGAACTTCGATGAATGACCCAAATATCTAGGTCAATATCTCGATGTCTTCTTTCAACCATCCTTAACACTACATGAAGTAAGATGAAGGTTAGGAGGAGACAAAATGATACCTAAGGGCTATCCACATCAGGAAAAACTTGCTGCAGTGCTTAACTTTCCTTGAAGAACAACAAACTCTTCAATGATATATCAAATGTACAAATGTTGAAAGAATACAAACCTATTCTAGCTGGTAGGTGCATGATTGCTTCAGATTGTGGAACAAATGCCCTGAAAAATTACAAAAAAATATTTTTTATGTTATAGAGAGAAAAATATTTTTTTCTTACAGCAAAAGCTGCTTAAGGACTAATGACCCTCTTCTCTAATGCCCTGTTCACACGGAGAGTTTAATTCGAATTAAACGCAAGTTACTGCGAATTAAATTTGATCCGCGTTCACACGGAGAATTTAATGCGAATTAGTTTAATTCGAATTAGTTTACTGCGCATTAAATTACTTCGCATTAGCTCCGTGTGAACGCTAAGCGAAGCTAATTCGAATTAAATTTTGACGCATGCGTAATGGCAAAATTAAGTCACCTGCCACATGACGGTGGTCAATTATAGGTACCTATACCATTTTTAGTGCAAAACAAAGAAAAATTACGTTAATCACTGAAATGTGTACAGACACTATGACATTATGTCAAATAGATTTGCTCTGCATAAGGTGACGTGATTTGAAAATGACGTCATAATAGCCTTACTGAAAAGCCTTACTGTAGAAATAAAATTTTATTTCGCATTAGTTTACTTCACATTATCTGTCGTGTGAACGCAATTTAATTCGCATTATTTTAATTCGCATTATTTTACTTCGCATTAATTTACTGCGAATTAAACTCTCCGTGTGAACAGGGCATAAATTCCACAATTCTTTTTAAACTTCCCAACATTGATTTTGATCAAGAGTTATAGCATCAGCTCCAATCAGAAAACAGTATGAGGTATGAAGTGCTGCTTATTTTTGCAGAAATGATTTTTATGTCAGATCAAGATAATATGAAGGAATTTTAACACAGAGAATAGAAAGAGTTTCGATTTATAATCACAACATAAAATTCAAAATATGAGGTGTGTATGGAAATAACATTTAGTATCATACCTATTAAAATCATATTAGAAAACATAATAAAGCGCTGCTTCCTAAGTCACAAAATCACAATGTTGTATGTGGTTGTAAGAAAAAAATATGCTTCTGTTAGCAAGAGTTATCTTTCTTATAAATATTTTTTTCATTGGAAAAAATGTAATATTAATAAAAATTCTATATTTGGTACTTGAAACATTAAACCATTCTTAAAAGTCCTTGAAAAGACAGACTGAATTTATTCAATTTACAAGGCTTTTAAAACTGGATTTAAATGTTTTTTTGTTAAATATAATAAAACAATTTGAAAAGTATATATAGGCAAAGGAAATAGAAGTTAATGTTTTCCATCGTATGTTAGATTTGATCGAATTGACTACTCAAATATCTTGATAATGAAACTCTGATAAAGTAAACTGAGAGTAATATTCATATTTTTTACTTGGAAAGTTGTCTCTCTTATCAGACAGTCAGTCCCCCTTAAAACATTTACTATTAATATTGTCATACATTTATCACTAGAAGGTAAAGTGAGAAAATGCTCTCATATAGTTGACCTCTACATTTGGCTTGTGGAAAATTGATTTTAGTACAAATATACCTAAATCTAAGATCCTTGTTGTTACAGAGTAGTGGTTCCTGGTTGGACAGGAGGCGCTGTAGGGTCGATCTGGCTTCTGTCCACGCAGCACAGCCCAGACCCATAAAGGAGTTCAGAGTGGTCTACAAAGGTGAAATTAAAACATACCAAACAGAACACAAATATAAAATCTTGTTCGGCTTCTTTGTATGAAAAAAAAGAGATATTAATTTGTGTTACCTCAGCAAAGACATCTTGGTGGTTCAGAAGAGCTGGTCCTGTAAACAGGTGTCTGATGACACTTAAATCTAACACCTGGTTACCAATAGCAACACCAATACGATGGGTGGGCTAATAAGAAAAGCAATATCATTTCTTCAACTAAAAGAAAATTAATCAAAAATTTAAAATTTCCTAGAACATTCAACAAGAAATGAAATTTTGTTTATTTCCACCTCAGTTCATTTCACAGCCACTGAATGATAGAGCAGGTTTGTGATCCTGTTCATGGGTGGTAAAAATTTCTGTGAACAATTATATAAATAAGTTTAATTAGTAAAGATCTCATTTTATTCTAGGGCATCGATAAAATGTTCTATAATTAAAATGTTATCAGGTCCTTCAGACCTGGTTTAAAAATAGGTCCTAGAATGTGTTCCTTGTATTGGAAATGTAGCAAAATTAAAAATATATTTAAAAAATATTAAAAATATTTTTAACTGAAAGTTATCCACAGTCTCAAAAGGGTTTGTCATGATAAATTTGGTGGTTATATTTTCAGTGCAACTTTCTTTCCCCCTAGTAAATTATTTTGGAGCAATTCTGCAATTTTCTGCTATTTATAGGGATAGGTATCACCAAAAATTTCAAATTGCCATATATCACAGTTTTCCCCCAAAATGTCATGATAATATCAAGGTATATTTACATGCAATTTTTGCTATAATCTTTAATGAATATCCATATTATCTTTTTTTTTTTTTTTTTTTTTTTTACAAATACAGTCAAACCTAGTTATCTCGAACTCAATTAGCCCCTTCACGGTAACTGCGGTACTACTCTTTTGCAGGGCAAAATAATGTTTTGCGAAGTTTTTGTTGACAGATAATTAAATGACATATATTTAACAATTACTTTTACGTCATATTTCACCAAACTAAATCATTTTGCCCTGCAAAAGAGCAGTACCGCAGTTACCGTGAAACGGTCTATGGGACCAAGAAAAAACTTTGAGATATCCGAAGATTCGAGATATCGAGGGTAAAATGCATAAAGAATAAGTGGTAAGGACCTCCAAATCACTTAGACTTCGACATATCCATGGTATTCGAGATATCAGTGTTCGAGATACCGAAGTTCAACTGTATGCTGAAAACCCATAATTTCACTTTTTAAATTTTTATTTACATAATAATAATAATAATAATACTTTATTTATAGAAGGTAACCTGATTAGTGCAAGCACTAGTCTTCCTCGGGGCCTTCTCCATAACACATATACAATGTATATATACAATAAACACAAATCACAACTATAAGACAATAAAATATAAACACTATGTTACAAAAGAATAAATAAAACATCAAAATTTCATTAAAAGGTGGAAAGGATAGAGTTAAAAAAAAAAAGAAAAGATATTTAAATTCATGTAGAATCAGTACGTTTCGTAAGTAAAAAATTTTCAACACTACTTTTAAATATTGCAAGGGATTGGGAATTCCTGATACTAATAGGCAACTCATTCCAGATAATAACCCCTGAATATTGTAAAGAATTTTTAAATAAATTTGTTTTATATTTTGGTAAACGAAGTTCTGAATTTGTCTTTGAGTGTAACGTGTATGATACAGAACTTTGAAATTCAAAAAAGTCATGCATATAATCAGGAGACATACCATGAAATATTTTGAACATTAGAATGCTTTTCTGTAAATACAGAAGTTCATAAACTGTTAACCAGCCTAAACTATTAAATAAGGGCATTGAAGGTGCGTCACATTTTTCATTTAAAATAATCCTAGCTGCTCTTTTTTGAAGTCTGTATATTCTATCGATGTGAGTTTGAGGAGAGTTACCCCAAATGGATAGACAATATAAAATTGATGGTAAAATAAATGCATTATAAAATAGCTTTCTAGTATGCAGTAGAAGGAACTTTTTAATTTTGCATAAAGTAAATAATTTATATGTAAGAGTTTTGCAAACTGCATCTACATGACAAGTATATTGAAGAGTATGATCAATGTGAACACCTAATAATTTCTCTGTTCTTACGTTTTCAAGGGGATGACCAGAAAGTTGTAAATGAAGATTAGCGTTTTCTAATTTTGATTTCTTTTGTTGTGTTCCCATTAACATACACTTTGTTTTATCAGTATTCAAAATCATTTGATTTTGTTGACACCAGTTTTGTATTTGAAACAGGTCATGATTAAGAGTTGTTTAAATACGTGAAATATTGTTACCATGAAAATGCATTGTAGTGTCATCAGCAAACATATCAATATTACAATGTTCAACAGATAATGGTAAATCGTTGATGTATAACAGAAATAATAAAGGACCTAAAATAGAGCCCTGTGGCACACCTGCTGTGACTGGCAGTGATTTAGATGTGTATGCACCAATTTTAACACTTTGAGTTCGATCATATAAATATGATTGAAACCATTTAATTGATATTGGATCAAAGTGATAGCATTTAAGTTTTCTAATTAGTATATCATGATTTATGAGATCAAATGCTTTGCTGAAATCCAAATAAGTAATGCCAACGAATTTTCCTTGATCTATTGCATGCAGCCAATTCTCAGTTAGTTTTGTGAGAGCTGTCTGGCACGAGTGAAATTCTCTAAATCCAGATTGTGCTTTCATTAATAAATCAAAATGAGAAGTAAAGATGCGTATATTTTCTGCTACATGCTTCTCTAAAATTTTCGATATAGTTGGTAAAATTGAGATTGGGCGATAATTTCCTGGGTCAGATTTATCGCCCTTTTTAAATAGAGGAGTTACTTTTGCGACTTTTAACTGTGAAGGAAAGGATCCCTTGATTATGCTAGAATTTATTAGGTGTGTTAGAGGTTTGGATATTATATGAGCTGAAAGTTTAAGCAATCTAGGTCCAAGAAAGTCTATGCCGGCAGATTTGTTTACATCAAGTCTCTTTAACATATCAAATACTTTTGCTTCATTAATCAAAGGAATTTCAAAAAAGTCATGATCTCCAAGTTTTGTCTCAGTGTATCTTTTCAATTTTTCTGATTCAAAACTATTTAACGAAAGGTTATTTAATAATTTTTTGGGAATTTGTGCAAAATGCTCATTAAAAGCATTTGCAATATCCTGTAAATTATCAAGATCTAACCCGTTTTATGTTATATTGGAAGGAGATGAATTTTTATCTGAATTTGAGGCCAGCTGATTTAAATGACCCCACATTTCCTTTGATGTAGAACTATTTTCAATGACTGTCTTATAATATGTACATTTTGCATCATTAATTAAAGAGGTGACTTTGTTCCTCCAAAATCTAAAACTGTCCATGTCTCCCTGCTTATGGAATTGATCTCGTAAATTCCTAGCATCATTTATTTCTGGAGTCAACCATTTAGTGCGAAATTCTGATTTCACACGCTTTGTTTTTACTTTTGCATGCTTATTAAGTTTAGAATTGAAAATTTCATAGAAACAGTTAAGATGTCATTAGGATCATGCAGTAGATTTAATTCATCAAAATTTGCATTGTTTAAATCATGCAAAAAATCAGTTTCATTAAAGTTTTTAAAGTCACGATATTGTATTTCAATATGTTTGCCTTTGTGTTGCATGCTGTTAGATCTTAAGCTTCGGGTGGCACATATTGGATAATGATCAGACATTGCTACAGGGGGTACTGATATTTCACATATGTTAGCAGGGTGCGTAGTGTAGAAATGGTCAATGAGAGTTTTAGAGCTATTTGTAATTCTTGTTGGGGTCTTAATTAGTTGTGTTAATTCCAAATCTACAATTGCAGATGACCAACTCTGTGGGGGGTCTTTGAGCATATCAATATTGATATCACCTGCAATAATCACTTCCTGGTCGTCACAGCAGGTAGCACACTGCACTTCTCTAACAAAATCTTCCACCCAGCAGGAGGGTGCAGATGGTGGACGGTAAACTGAACAATAAAGTATAGGTTTAGAATTTTTAAGATTAATTTCAAGCCACATTGTTTCTAAATTACTAATTTCTAAATCGATTCGTCGTTTATATTTTAAATCATTTGCAATATATGTAACAAGTCCACCACCTGCCTTTCCTTTTCTATCTTTTCTTTCAAAAGTATATCCATTTACATTTATAATACAATCACTAATATTTTCATTAAGAAAAGTTTCACATAAAGAAAAAATGTCAACATTTTGTTGATCTTCTAAATATAAAATTAATTCATCCAATTTTGGTAAAATGTGACAAACATTCAAATTTACAAAATGCAGACCTTTTTTCAGAAGGCCAACTTTTGGATCACATACATCTAGTTTGTCATCATTTTGAGTGTTTGTTGTTAGAGATGGATTATAAAATTCTCTTTGATTCTGTTTCAAAAAGGTTTTTTGTTTAAGTTTACATAGATCTGCATTCTCAGATTTTAAGCTATAATCATTTGAGTTATTATTAGATAAAAGACAGGTGCAAATTGATTCATTACAATCTAAACAGAGATTAATCAAAGGGTGAAAATAATTTTTGACACTGTTAATACCGGTAATCGGACAGTAGTTCGTATAATCGGCACAGCTTTCATTGCCGTGATCCTACTTTGTGCAAAATTTCTGCTTGTGACCATGCTCACCACAGCATCAACAAGTTACTTTGTTACCGTGTCGGCAGTTGCGCGAGGAAACACCTTGTTCTCCACAGTAATAGCAGGTCTGCACAGAAAAGGAATTTTGATGCTTAAGAATTTGCACATGAGTACTGTAGAGCTTGAGAAGCGAAGCGGTACCACGGTCGGACAAGTGGATGCCATCTCTCCAAAAGGAAGGAGAATTCCAGTGTTTGAATGACTTACTCGATTCGATTAACACAGCACCGTACTCCTCACAGACATATCTAATGCATTTATTCACTTCTGTTACATCTGCATCCCGTCTTGGAATCACTTCTGATAGAAACACAATAATGGTTGGATTTCTTCTTTTCAAATCAGTGACCATTTCTGCAAAGTCATTCTCAATTGCATCAATGTTGCGGAAATTAGCAACATCATTACCTCCAGCCTGAATAACAATATTCTGGATGGAGGACACATCAAACCTCTGTAGTTTTGAACGAATTTGTGCAATACCGGCACCTCGATTTGTGCTTACTTTCACACTTTGATCTAGGCCATGGGTTTTTATTCTTTGAAGAATCGAACTCCCGATGACAAGTGTAGACGTTTGGTTATGTTCTCTTACAGGAAGCTGAGGATTTCTTGTGATGTTGCTTTTTCTCTTAGGGGTCGAAATATTTTGACTGTCTTTGGAGATGTGTACGTCTGGCTTTTTTTGGGTTCTTTTTATCGTAGACTGGGTGTTTTTCCACACGGGACTTGGACTGACATCTGCATCTGTTGAAGTACTAGAGGTTTTTTTCTCAACAGTAAACGTACACTGGGTATGCCTTGAAATTCCATTTGTTATTGAGACTGAAAGCCCCTCGGTCGAAGTTTCCTTCTGTTTCACTTTTTTCCCAGAAGTTTGTGTAGAGGCATTAGAACACGACTTTCCTTGTTCTGCTTCCATTAGCTGCTTCTTCAGGATTTCAACTTCTTTGGTAAGCATTTTCACCGTCTCGGAAAGATGTTTCATATTTTCCGCGCTTTTACAATGGTCGCATCCTGTCTCAATATTTGATTCATTCATTTTTCTAGAGGGTCTTGGGGTTGAGGTAGAGTTCGGCTGATCAACAATAATTTTACACTCTGTTGCAGAGTCAGTGTGGCTCATATCTGGTTGACACTTTATTTCATTAAGAAATTCATTCTTGTACCATTCAAAAGCACTAGTTCCTTGAATTAGAATGGTATTAGTGCTTCTGTAAATCGTTACAGTCACTGAATCACATGCAGATTTGTAGATGCACCCATTTCTTTTATTATTCCCATGGAATGAAAGCATTCTCTGAAGCACAGATAAAACAAATTCATGTTGCTGGCCATCGTAGTTTATGGTCACACTTTCTTTGTTAAGCTTAACCTGAAGAAAGTCTGGTATACTCACTGAAGGGGTTAAGTCCAGTTCATTATCTTTTTTCCATTAAATGATTGCGATAATCCAGTAAATGAGTTTAAAATTGAGGTAAAAAAACTGGAATTTACACTAAGATCCATCATTTCTTCATCATTTTTTCTTATCAGCTGGGTATCGATACGAGCTCATAAAAACACGTCTTATCTCTTCGACAGTCATTTAATATAAAACTAGCTGCAGAACTGTAGCTCTCTGAAAAAAATATAATGGCAGACCGGAGAGTTACAGTGCAACCCATTGAAAAAAGTGTATATTATTTATTGTGCGCAAAAAAAGTTTGCTGTTTCTCGTTTTTATTTTTCCATGTTTTTAAAACTGCCATCTCAAAATATTACTAACTGTGTGTTCCTTACATATTCTTTTACAATTTTCACAACAAATCATTCCTTATAAACATTATAGCCCTCCTGGGCCTGAAATTGAGACCATAAAAAATTTCCCCTATTCATACTGCCATTTTGGTTGGAAAGATAATTCGGTCCAACACGCTTCATGCAGATGTAAGACTGAGTATAGTTGATAGAGGTCTAAAGATTTTTTTTAATTAGGGTATTTGAGCAGTTGAGGTAAGACTTTGGAGAAATTAATCCAGAACCAAGCGCTACTTTTTGTGTACAGTAAATATAGATTTTTCTTTGGGTGGCACGTACTATAACTCTCTGGTCATATCCAACCCAATTTTTTCAGACCAAGGGGCTACAGATCTGCAGCTAATATAAACATGTTTGGATGCTAGGATGCTGTTCTTCTACCTTTTTGAACACTTCCTGTAATTGTAATTCAAAGTTTGAACAAAAATAAATGAATAAATTCTGGAATCTATAATTATGTACCTAAATACCAGTATTCTAGACTGACTGTATCCAATACTTATCACGCAATTAAAAATCATGATATACTGGTATACAGATAAAATCGATGTCCCGTGTCGCAGAAGGTGCTGGCACGAAAAAGATCCTTCACTACATGCTCATTGACTCTGAGTGTCGAGTATCTATCTAGGTTTGAATTTGTAGCCCTCTACCGGCAAGTGGTGGCGTCTCAATATGACAGTGTATGAGTGAAAAATTCTCGAGAGGGACGTTAAACAAACAGTGAAACTACCTCAGCTACTTCAGCATAATTTCATGTACGCACGGAAAACCTAAAACCTAAATACTGTGAAATTAATAATTAACTAGTGACCGATTTCTTTTTTTTATTCGTTATTTGGACTCCTGTCATTACCAAAATGTGTGCCAAAACCTGCCCATTTGATTGGCTGAGGAACGACACACCTCTGATTTGATTGTCAATCATTGCAGAATTTAAAAGAAAACTTACGTTATCTGCCGTTGAGAACACACCATACGGCAAATTCTGCAATGGGAAATCGCTGTCAGGGCTGACTTCTATAAAAGACATAGTAAAAGTGAATTATTTGTACTGTTTACCCGTGCCTTGCAGCCTTACTTTGACCGCTTACAGGAAGACAGGACTCCTTATTTTCGTATCTTTTAACTTTAATCCTTTCCTGAATAATTAAATTCTAAATCTCTATAAAGATCTTTTGAAGACAATATAAATCCGAAGCATGATAAATCCAATTGTGTAAAAAAGTTTTGTGAGGAAGTTAAAGGAGGATTTATACGAAAATGTGGGAGCTTTATGACTTTGGACATATCAGTGCCAAATAATTTTGTTTACAAATGTGAAAATCATGTTGCGGAGATACATTTTATCGCTTGGGTCAAGAGAGATAGTAAAATGCCATAAGCGTTTGTTGAATTTAGATGCAGTTGCACCTATTGGCACTACTCTTGAAAAAGATGCAAGTTACAAGGTAAAAACACGTGCATCTCGAATTTCCTCAGACTCCTTGGATTTAATCACACCCGCTATAATTTTTTCCTTGAAAACTATGAACGGTCTTAAATGAAGCACCGATTTAACGATGTTGGGGTTCTTGAATTATCTTTTGATATTTAAATTTGCAAACGTTTTCCCTCATATTACACCATTTGAACATGGCGTATTTAATTTTAAAGAATATACGGTTGTTGACTTGGGTAGAGGGAAACAGTCAATCGTGTTGGACCGGAGTGCAAGCTGTTGCCCAAGGCCGTAGGCCGTGGGTAACAGCTTGCACTCTGTTTCAACAGATCGACTGTTTTCCAAGACTCTCAACAACAGTTTTGTTATACTTCTACTAAATCAAATTCATAAATTTAACAGAAAATAAAACTGTTTTGGGAGAGAGAGACTTTACATGTATTAATCAACATTCTTTGTATGTTTGCTGTCCCTACTTTCAAGTTTCGCTTGGATTTTATCATCGTTCGCCGCAGCAAAACGAACATTGGCCATTTCTGTTTATCTTAACAACAGGTTTAAATTACTCGGCACTCCTCAGCTGATTACATTTAAGTCATGGTTACCCGAATCAGCCGAAGTTTGCCGAATGAGGAAAAGATAACTCAATTTAGCGCCATTTGACGTCAGCGGGCAACAGTCTTTTTTAACAGTCTATTTTAACAGTTTCTGGTCCGACAATCGGGGAAAACAGTCGAACTGTTGGCTTTTTTAAAGTAAGAAATTATATAGGGACTGTTTAGTAGGGGTATAACAATATAATATGTTGATGGTGCGACCGTTGGGGCGAGCACAGTTGTTCACTTAATTTTAAGATCTGCCTCTTCAAACCGCACGAGACATTTGGAATGTCTAGACTGTGACGTCACATGACGTTGTATGTTAGCTGCATTTCCATTTATAAATGAAGTTTAAAAAGTGCCAGATTTTAACCAAAGAACGTTTTATCTACTATCTGTATGCAATATCCATTTGATGAAGGTGAGTTTATTATTTTGTGAATTTTTAGTTTTTTGTTACCGTGAGAACAAAGTTAGCAGCAAGAACAACAAGCATTGCTTTGTGGGTCTCAAGGTAATTGTGGAAAAAATTTCATTTGGATCAATATGCAAAGTCTGAATTTTCTCTTCGCCTAGGTGTTGTCGTTAGAGCTCACATTGTGAGCAGCGCTTTGCGCAGCTTGCTGCGCTCGCTGTTAACAAGTTCATTACATGACAGTAAATTCATTGTTAAGTCAAAGACAATTGATGTAATTTCCCAGTAACCATCAATCATTAAGTGCGAAACATGTTCAACACATTCAATTCATAATGTTAAGGTTAAAAAAAATAATATAGGGTTATTGAACTTAAGTTGGTGAATATTGGCACGAGTTGGCTGTACAAATTAATGAATGAGCTTGTACAGCCAACAAGTGCCAATATTCACCAATATAAGTTTAATAACTCCATTATTATACATGTGTATAGCTAAAACATTTTCCAATGATTTATAATTTCAACTGAATAACTCAAAATAAATGAGAATTTTTCAGTAATCAATATTCAAATTATTCAAATTATTCAAATTAAAACTCTCCAATATCAGCGTCAGTCCTGTAAGTGTTCAATATCACGTCATTCCAATGATCCTACTAAGCGATGTGATTTGCTTATTAAGGTTTTTATTGAGGCTGATAGGAAAATTATTTAAAAGATATTTCAATTTTGTATGAAAATAGACACATCTTACCTAGCCGCCACTACCCATCATAAATATTGCTGTTGAGCAGTTGACCAGAAGCAGCTAGACGACATTTTTTTGTTTCAATGGGCGTTCAATATTCCAAGATATTGAACTCTAAAATTCTCTAGATTTAACTTTTAGTAGTCTTTTAATGTAGACTATTTATTAGCTAAATAATAAATCATTTCATGGGTGTAAAACTATAGTATGTTAATATGGGTTGGTACATTATCAAATCTACCAAATACTCTCAAAATTGATTACATGACAAACCCATATTTATTTAAAAAGATACCTTAATGATTTCTTAAATAATGTAAATAAATAAATGATTATAAGTGCCCTATTTAGAATACATATACAATGTATTTATGAAAAAAAAAGTAAATTCGTATTTAAAGAAACTGTAAGGTCAAGCAACCTGCAGGTCAAAGACAAGCACAGTATGTATAGTCCTTGTCTGACACAACTACAAAATGTAGAACAAAAAAGGCAAACACAGAAAAGTATACAAATTTCTGAAACACAAAAAATCAACAAATGTGAATATAAAGTTATGAACAAAAAATCATATAATTCAAACACATTTATACAAAAGAAAACAATGTTCATTATAATTTGATCATTTGTACACTTTTTAGAAAAGGTTTCTACAGCAACCTATGTCTACAGTCTTCAGTCTTTGTTTTCTACATCAGTAACCAATATTTTGTTAAATTCCTAAAAATATTATAATTATTCTGAGATAAAGTAATACCCTGTTATATATGTAAATCAGATTTAAGGTAAAGGATGGGATCTAAGATGTCCTTTATATCAATGATGAATATTTTGTTAAATTCCTAAAAATTATTCTGAGATAAAATAATACCCTGTTAAATGTGGAAATCGGATTTATGGTAAAGGGTGGGATCTACTGATGACTTCTACATCAATGACAAATATTTTGTTTAATTCCAAATCATATAATTATTCTGAGATAAAGTAATACCCTGTTAAATGTGGAATTTAAATTTAAGGTAAAAGGTGGGATCTACAGATGTCTTCTACATCAATGACATATTTTTTATTAAATTCCGAAACATATAATTATTCTGAGATAAAAGTAATATCTTGTTAAATGTGGAATTCTGCACCTACATCATATTGGCTGTGAGTCTATATGATAACTATAAATAATCATTAATTTTATATAATTCTATTATCATAAAATATGTACATATTTTCTTGACTATAAAATACACTATAGCTTTAGCATGTTTAGTGCTTATGACGTATGAAAATCTGTCTTTCAAATTATCTTACTTGCAAAAGTGCTATGGAAATTAATATTGCCAAAATTATAGGCTTCACAATTAATTGATATATATCAAAAATATGTTAAAGTTAGTAAATATATATTATTAGCTTACCAGTAGAAGAATTTGTCCTATGGTCAGATTACCCAGTAATAAATACACAGCTGCAAAATCTATGGACAAAGGTTGGCCAGAAAGACCAAGAACATTTGGGGGGAATTAAACAAACCAATAAAACACAAGAACACAAAACTAAAAACCAATAGAAACAAAGAACTTATAAGACTTATGGCCAGAACCTTAATTATGACCCTTAAGGCAAATAACAGGGTAGCATTGCATGTTACACCTGAGTGATCATTTAACTTATTGAATAATCTGAAATATATACAAAAAGAAAATAAGATATTTGGATAATTATTTATTGATAAGAAATTAATTAATAAATTCATCACTATTACATTTTACAATGTTCTTACTTGTACATTGACATTGTTGAATAGGAAAATGCAGATACAATGCAATCCCTTGTGGAAGACTTGAAAGCCAAAGTCAATAAAATCACACAAGGTAGGAATTGTTCCATCTTAAAACATACCATGAATTTATATATAAAGAGGAAATAATTAATATCTGTTTTTAGCCAGCAAGATATTTACTCTTTTTAACAGCTAATTGATCAATATGATGTGTAGCTTTTTCTAGTATATTGGATGTGATATTCATTAGGTGGAGGTGAAGCAGCTAGAAAGAAGCACACAGATCGAGGGAAAATGTTACCCAGGGACAGAATTAACTCATTGCTGGATCCACAGTAAGGCATTTGTTCACGTAATGTGATAAAGATATATTTAATCAAATGTTTAACTGCATGATAATTATAATAATTGTTTAATAAACACAGGTTTTTAATTTTTTTAAATTTAAGAAAATTTCAAAGTTTCAGAAAATCTTTTGTTACTTAGATATTTATTTTTAAGTCTTGATACTTAAGGAAACTTCACTGTTGTTTTGATCAGGTCTCCTTTCCTTGAGCTGAGTCAGTTGGCAGGGTACCAGTTGTACAGAGAGGAGGAGGTTCCTGCGGGGGGCATCATCACAGGGATAGGTCGTGTGTCTGGGTAATTAACTGTAAAATGTATTCACCTTATTTCTGGTGGCTCTCAATGTATCATTTAACAGCTTTATTGTAAAGAAAATGATGAAAAACAGTCATGAAAATTTAAAGTTACCTCTCATTAAGAACTATTAGATCCGCCAACAAAAAAATGGACAAAAAAAACATTGTAAACAAACTTCATTTTCCCAATATATAAGTCAACAGTAAGAGAATATCAGAAACATTGACAGTATAATAGATAGTCAAGTACCATTAGATGTGCATATGTTTCTTATCTCTTAAATGTTTTTTTTTTTCAGAGTAGAGTGTATGATTGTAGCCAATGACCCGACCGTCAAGGGTGGGTCATACTACCCTGTCACAGTCAAAAAACACCTGAGGGCCCAGGAGATTGCCCAGCAGAACCATCTACCCTGTATATACCTAGGTAAACAGTAGTCAGGGAGTCAGTAAAACAAAACCCATTACTTGTGCATGTAGTTGTAAATTTTGATTTCCCAAAAAAAATTCTTCTCATTTTAAAGTATTCTTTTCCATCAATCCTAGTGCATAAAATAAAAGAAATAATGTTAAGTAATTTGTGAAAGCTAAAATTAAATAGAAATTTGTTTTTGTGATAGATAAATACATTTAGCAGAGCTTTAAGTTGTTTCATTTTTCCCACAGTTGACTCGGGAGGAGCTAATCTCCCCCGACAGGAGGATGTTTTTCCAGATAGAGATCACTTTGGAAGAATTTTTTTCAATCAGGCCAACATGTCCGCCCTCAAGATACCTCAGGTAACCTATTATTTCCTGTGTGTGAGATATAAAAAAAAAATGCTCAAAAAGGGAGATAACTCTGCATTTTGGAAAACATGTTGAAAATTGACATTTCTTCTTTTAGGAGGAGCAAGTACACCTTTTCATATTTTGTTGAATTTATTCTCTAATTTTAAATATTTACAGATAGCAGTAGTTTTAGGTAGTTGTACTGCTGGTGGAGCCTACGTCCCAGCCATGGCAGATGAAAGCATCATTGTCAAGAAGCATGGGACAATTTTCCTTGGAGGTCCTCCTTTGGTATTCTTTCTACCATCAGTTTTCTTCTGTCAATTATAATTTAGCATTTTCTATTGTTTTATTTATGCAGATTTTAAAGGTTTTAGTGAATAAAAAAAAAAGAAAATAAGTACCTGC